TTCTGTCATATTAAGACGTGTAAAGTACGTGATAAATGCATGACACTAGATGAATTATAAGCTAAATATCAGCAGGTTGCGAGTGTGATTGTATGTGTTCGGATCGCAGGAGGATGATGGGATCGAAGGTTTGTTTTATTTACTTTATGATAAATCCTCTCATTTATCGTCACTCTGACCTATTTACCCGCCTCACTGTGTTCTGTTAACATTATTTAACTTGTAGTGTGCCACAGTTATTGAAATGATACTTAATAAAAAGCTTTGTTCAGCATTCTGTCTGTGAGCGTGAGGCGCATGCGTGAATCTCCACTGAAGCGACACGCGTCTCTGTGCGTGTGACGTCAGCGCTGGCCCGGATGCGGCGCATGCGCAGTATGAGTGTTTACTGTAGGAGGCGCTGAACTTCAGACGCAGTTGCACATTAACGTGTAATCATTTACATGGATTTATTCTGATCGTTAATGCACGAGATACAAATCCCATGCGTGCATTCCAGCAATCTTTTACAAATGTTTTTAAAACACTCGGTAATCAGACTAGCCTGTGATTGGTTCATCCTGACACGAGCGCTGAGAGAAGCAGCAGCTATCACGTGACAATGCTACCTCCGAAAAATGTTTTACACCTGAATGATGATGTAACGAGAATCTATCAAACGTATTAAAGATAAAACACGCACAGAAGAGCTCAAATATAATGTTTAATGATTTCAGGCATTCGAAAGCCCCGCCCATCGCGCGCGTTTGAGTTCTATGGCGACACGTGTCCCTGCGCGCGTGACGTCAGCGGTGTCCCGGATGAGGCGCAGGCGCATGCGCAGTGTGGGTTCGTCCAGCGCTTCAGACGCGTCTCTCTCGTTTCTTCTCAGTGTTTTCTCTTTTGTTTCTCGTTATCGGAGTCATGAAAGTGCTGCAGAAGCTGCTGCTGCTGCTCTTGCTGGCGTTTCCCGCGACGCTGCTGCTGAAGGGTGAGTTTACTGTGCTCCTTCAGCCCGCGTCTCTCTGTAATATCTGAAATAATAATCAATAACGCGATCAGTGCGCTGTTACTCATCGATTATCAGCTCTGGAGGCGCACAGTGTGGCGTCTGGACTGATATATATATATGTGTGTGTGAGTGAGTGTGTGAGTGTGTGAGTGTGTGAGTGAGTGTCTGTGTCTCTGTGTGTGTGTCTCTGTGTGTCTCTCTCTCTGTGTATGTGTGTGTGTGTGTGTGTGTGTGTGTGTGTGTGTGTGTGTGTGTGTGTGTGTGTGTGTGTGTGTGTGAGAGTGTGTGTGTGTGTGTGTGTGTGTGTGTGTGTGTGTGTGTGTGTGTGTGTGAGTGTGTGTGTGTGTGTGTGTGTGTGTG